TCCTCGGGAAGGTGATGGTGACCGCCTGTCTGGACAAACTGGTCCGAGTCTACGATCTGCTGGTCTGCACCCTCAAAACATCACTCTAGAAATCATATTATCAGTCTTTTAAATACTCTCTGAAGTAACTCTTTAACTTGTGTTTCTGTCACAGTCTCACGAGCAGCTGCAGGTTTACGGAGGACACAAGGACATGGTGATGTGTATGACTATCCACAAGAACATGGTGAGTATCCCTTTAGCTATATGCAAGGTAAACTGGGGAATTAAACACGGATCTACGTATTAAATAAACTCCTTAGACACCCTTAACCCTGCTTCTAATTCATGTATTTGATTACATGTTACATATTACATATTACACCTGAACATCAGCAGGAGAGGACTCTTTAAAGTAGAGACGCTACTCACTGATATACACCTGAACATCAGCTGGAGAGGACTCTTTAAAGTAGAGACACTACATACTGATATACACCTGAACATCAGCAGGAGAGGACTCTTTAAAGTAGGGACACTACATACTGATATACACCTGAACATCAGCAGGAGAGGACTCTTTAAAGTAGAGACACTACATACTGATATACACCTGAACATCAGCAGGAGAGGACTCTTTAAAGTAGAGACACTACATACTGATATACACCTGAACATCAGCAGGAGAGGACTCTTTAAAGTAGAGACACTACATACTGATATACACCTGAACATCAGCAGGAGAGGACTCTTTAAAGTAGAGACACTACATACTGATATACACCTGAACATCAGCAGGAGAGGACTCTTTAAAGTAGAGACACTACATACTGATATACACCTGAACATCAGCAGGAGAGGACTCTTTAAAGTAGAGACACTACATACTGATATACACCTGAACATCAGCAGGAGAGGACTCTTTAAAGTAGAGACACTACTCACTGATATACACCTGAACATCAGCAGGAGAGGACTCTTTAAAGTAGAGACGCTACTCACTGATATACACCTGAACATCAGCTGGAGAGGACTCTTTAAAGTAGAGACACTACATACTGATATACACCTGAACATCAGCAGGAGAGAACTCTTTAAAGTAGAGACACTACATACTGATATACACCTGAACATCAGCAGGAGAGAACTCTTTAAAGTAGAGACACTACATACTGATATACACCTGAACATCAGCAAGAGAGGACTCTTTAAAGTAGAGACACTACATACTGATATACACCTGAACATCAGCAGGAGAGGACTCTTTAAAGTAGAGACACTACATACTGATATACACCTGAACATCAGCAGGAGAGGACTCTTTAAAGTAGAGACACTACATACTGATATACACCTGAACATCAGCAGGAGAGGACTCTTTAAAGTAGAGACACTACATACTGATATACACCTGAACATCAGCAGGAGAGGACTCTTTAAAGTAGAGACACTACATACTGATATACACCTGAACATCAGCAGGAGAGGACTCTTTAAAGTAGAGACACTACATACTGATATACACCTGAACATCAGCAGGAGAGGACTCTTTAAAGTAGAGACACTACATACTGATATACACCTGAACATCAGCAGGAGAGAACTCTTTAAAATAGAGACACTACATACTGATATACACCTGAACATCAGCAGGAGAGGACTCTTTAAAGTAGAGACACTACATACTGATATACACCTGAACATCAGCAGGAGAGGACTCTTTAAAGTAGAGACACTACATACTGATATACACCTGAACATCAGCAGGAGAGGACTCTTTAAAGTAGAGACACTACATACTGATATACACCTGAACATCAGCAGGAGAGGACTCTTTAAAATAGAGACACTACATACTGATATACACCTGAACATCAGCAGGAGAGGACTCTTTAAAGTAGAGACACTACATACTGATATACACCTGAACATCAGCAGGAGAGGACTCTTTAAAGTAGAGACACTACATACTGATATACACCTGAACATGAGCAGGAGAGGACTCTTTAAAGTAGAGACACTACATACTGATATACACCTGAACATCAGCAGGAGAGGACTCTTTAAAGTAAGAGGACACTACACACTGATATACACCTGAACATCAGCAGGAGAGGACTCTTTAAAGTAGAGACACTACATACTGATATACACCTGAACATCAGCAGGAGAGAACTCTTTAAAGTAGAGGACACTACATACTGATATACACCTGAACATCAGCAGGAGAGGACTCTTTAAAGTAGAGACACTACATACTGATATACACCTGAACATCAGCAGGAGAGAACTCTTTAAAGTAGAGACACTACATACTGATATACACCTGAACATCAGCAGGAGAGGACTCTTTAAAGTAGAGACACTACATACTGATATACACCTGGACATCAGCAGGAGAGGACTCTTTAAAGTAGAGACACTACATACTGATATACACCTGAACATCAGCAGGAGAGGACTCTTTAAAGTAGAGACACTACATACTGATATACACCTGAACATCAGCAGGAGAGGACTCTTTAAAGTAGAGACACTACATACTGATATACACCTGAACATCAGCAGGAGAGGACTCTTTAAAGTAGAGACACTACATACTGATATACACCTGGACATCAGCAGGAGAGGACTCTTTAAAGTAGAGACACTACATACTGATATACACCTGAACATCAGCAGGAGAGGACTCTTTAAAGTAGAGACACTACATACTGATATACACCTGAACATCAGCAGGAGAGGACTCTTTAAAGTAGAGACACTACATACTGATATACACCTGAACATCAGCAGGAGAGGACTCTTTAAAGTAGAGACACTACATACTGATATACACCTGAACATCAGCAGGAGAGAACTCTTTAAAGTAGAGACACTACATAATGATATACACCATCAGATCTTCATGCATGTGTTTTGTGTTTCAGATCTACACAGGTTGTTACGATGGCAGCGTGCAGGCGGTGAAGCTGAACCTGATGCAGAACTACCGCTGCGGGGTAAGAGGAGGGACATCTTTCTACTAGCATCGTTTAAAAAAGATATCTGAAATAACACAGTTGAATTTATTACAGAACATTTCTTATTTCCTTAGGAGATAGTGCATTTCTGTCTTGACCTCACCTGTTTTGTTAAAAAGTTTTACGGGGCGTGGTTTGCAATCCGCCCAGCCAATCAGAAATGGGAACCTTTTTCTGCTCTCTAGCAGGGACTGAAAAGGGTCTGGAAAGGTTCTCATGAACTAAGTTCCAGATGTTTTTGGTGTGAACGCAACATTTCGGAACTTTATCGGAACTATACTGGGAAAAGTACTCCGGTGTGAAAGCGCATCTGCATTTTCCTCCACATCGGACATTTTCTTAAATGCTGTATGTCTTTCACTCTGTTTCTGTTGTTATAATTGTGTGTGTGTGTGTGTGTGTGTGTGTGTGTGTGTGTGTGTGTGTGTGTGTGTGTGTGTGTGTGTGTGTGTGTGTGTGTGCAGTGGCACGGCTGCTCCCTGGTGTTCGGGCTGATGGAGCACCTTCAGCAGCACCTGATCAGCGACCACAGCTCCTCTTCCTCTCAGAGCCTGAAGTGCCGCTGGAAGAAATGTGACGAGTTCTTCTGCACCCGCAACAGCTCCAAGCAGGTACAAAACACACCGTTATCATGTCTATTTGGTACGTAGAGGCACAATATATATACAGTGGGGCAAAAAAGTATTTAGTCAGCCACCAATTGTGCAAGTTCTCCCACTTAAAAAGATGAGAGGCCTGTAATTTTCATCCTAGGTACACTTCAACTATGAGAGACAGAATGAGAAAAAAAAATCACATTGTCTGATTTTTAAATAATTTATTTGCAAACTATGGTGGAAAATAAGTATTTGGTCAATAACAAAAGTTCATCTCAATACTTTGTTATATACCCTTTGTTGGCAATGACAGAGGTCAAAGGTTTTCCGTAAGTCTTCACAAGGTTTTCACACACTGTTGCTGGTATTTTGGCCCCAAGCTGCTTACCTATTGCAGATTCAGTCTTCCCAGCCTGGTGCAGGTCTACCATTTTGTTTCTGGTGTCCTTTGACAGCTCTTTGGTCTTGGCCATAGTGGAGTTTGGAGTGTGACTGTTTGAGGTTGTGGACAGGTGTCTTTTATACTGATAACGAGTTCAAACAGGTGCCATTAATACAGTTAACGAGTGGAGGACAGAGGAGGCTCTTAAAGAAGAAGTTACAGGTCTGTGAGAGCCAGACATCTTGTTTGTTTGTAGGTGACCAAATACTTATTTTACCGAGGAATTTACCAATTAATTCATTAAAAATCCTACAATGTGATTTCCTGGATTCTTTCCCCCCATTCTGTCTCTCATAGTTGAAGTGTACCTAGGATGAAAATTACAGGCCTCTCTCATCTTTTTGAACTTGCACAATTGGTGGCTGACTAAATACTTTTTTGCCCCACTGTACTAACAATACCCTTATAGCTGAAAGACATTCATCCATCTCTAAATGAACCGCAAACAATTTTCAATCATTCAATAATTACATATAGCGAGATGGCAGTGCAGTTGCATTGAACTCCAGCTTTTCCATAAGTTTCATTGACAATTTGATGAGAAACAGGGACATTACAGCTCTTATGCTGCTGTTTTTAAACAACAAATGCATGTTTTTCATTCGTTTAAAACATTTTTGTGAACACGATTTTCTTATTTTGAGACAATTGCACTGTAAATGGCAATATAACATGTGCTTTATCCAACTTATGTTTGCCTATTTAATGAATATATAATAGTATTATTATTTTCTGAAGTATGCATAACTGATATTTTATTAAATATATATATTTTGTTCTAATACATTTCATGTACCCTCACATACCTGGTGGAGAGGATGCTAACACACACATAGGAAAGGTGTTATTCCTCAAAATACATGTTTTATTTGCATTATGCAAGGTCTGATCACACTGATATCAAATAAATACAATTCTCTAATTTGTTTTAGTTTTTTTAAATGTGGTTGAAACACTATAAAAAGTAAAACAGATATACTTTGAATTCTTTACAGAGCTGTATATCTATATAAATAAATCTTACCCCTTAAAATCGCTTTGCAACACCAGAGGCCTATACTACGAAGCTGGTTCAACCTAACCTGGATATGTTTGAGTTAGCCGGCATACCTAATCCAAAACAAACGCGCTCTCGCTAAGCGGTCCTACGACGCTGGTTATCAACTCGTTAACTCAAGCCAGCCGTGTCCTATCTAGTTAGGTGCACGTTCACATAGAAGGGGTGGTATCTGGAGCATTCGACCAATCACAAACATGGAGAAGAATACTGACAGCGCAGCGTCATACTTCCTGAATGAAAAGTCAACTATATAATTAGACAAATATGAAGAAGTTAAACTTTAAACATCCATGACTTAAACACTTGATCCAGGATCAAAGCCACAGAGCTGCACCTGCAAGGTGAATACAGCTGGGAACAGAACAAGTGTTTGAATGCGTACATTAACAGGTTTATGATATCACTGCCCGTCTAAAACACCATCTGACTTTAATTACTTTTGACTCGAGTGTTTCGTCAACTTAATGTGTTGTATGTGACACTGAGTGTTGCACGGCCAGATACGGCTCAGCTGACATGATACATTATGAAGTGATATGCCGCGGACTGTACTTAATGTTACTCTGATCCGGTTACTTATGTTGTGGCAGATATTTAAGTAAGCTTTCTTAACGCTAATGTTATAATAGTCAGATTGCTCTGAAGATGGAGGTGATATTCTATTAATGTTCACGTTCACACAGTCGGTGATTTTTGCCGGCCGTCTTTCCTGCAACGGCAGTTTTTCTGTATTTCCTTTCTCCTGTAATATGACTTCATCGCTTTAAACTCTGCACACTGAGCTCTGATTGGTCAGCAGGCGGTGCTTTCACTGAGTTGATCTCTTAGCCTGGAACCTAACCAGGCTATCTGTTCAGCATAAGTTACCATGGAGATCTAGCTCGCTAAGACGTGAACCAGCGTCGTAGGACCGGAAACCCTGAGTTTTCCCTGAAGTTAGCCGCTAAGAGAACATCCTGCTTCGTAGTACAGGCCTCAGGCCTTCTTTCTAATTTATTGAATTTGTATTGTATTTATTTTGCAGGTGTTGCAGCTGCACATGCAGAAACACGCCGAAGAGGAGACTGAAGTGGAGCCTTAAGTCCTCCCCTTTGTCCCGCCTCCCCACCTGTTAACCTCCCATATTGGGGGGGCGCTCTCCTCTAACGACGACTCCATCCTTTATGTTCGGTGTTGGAATCCAACCATAAAACTATCTGAGGGGCTGTTCCCGTCAGCAGCTCCTGTTCCACTGACCAAATATAAGACCCTTTTTTTATTGAAGAAACTCCAGTGTGTTGCCGGTGTGTTTAAGGGGGGGAGGGGTCGCGCTTTTATGTTGAAACAGTTTGACGACTTCTTCGTGGCATGGGCTCAGAGATGTTTTTATTGTTGTAGTGATTTGTCATGTCGAGCAACGTTTTTTTTCTTTTTTCTCAAGTTGCCATTTTTCACTTTTTATGACAAGTGATTAAAAGTTTTCACGTTTTTAGTATTTTAGTGTCCTTGAAGTGACAAGAATACCTTTTTGTTTTCAGGGAATAATTTTGAACATTTTGCTTAGGGTTTACGGAAGAGGTTGAGGGCGACATGAATATATTTTTTGGGGCATCTGAGATTAAAGTTTGAAAGTCAGAATTCCGAGATTGCAGAATGTTTTCTCAGAATTCCGACTTTAGTCTAAAAGAATTTGACTTTTTTCTCAGAATTATGGCTGTTTAATTCAGACGTTCTCAAAATTCCGACTTTAATCTAAAAATTCCGATTTTAAACAAAAACAAATCTGATTTTATTCTCAAAATTCCGACTTTAAACAAAAGAAAATCGAATTGAGTCGCATAATTCTGATTTTAGTCAAAACATTTTTACTTTTGTCTCAGAATTATGGCAGTTTAATTCCGACTTTATTCTCAAAATTCCGACATTAAACAAATAATTACGAATTTTATCTCAGAATTATGATTTTAAACAAAATAAATCAGACTTTAATCTCAGAATTCTCAATCCAAAAACGATTTCCCCCGTGGCTCTTACCCTCGACCGTACGGATTACTTCCCTTTTCTTTAGTTTTGCTCGGTGATAAAAGGCGTTGAGGGACTTTGGTGCAGTGTTGTGTGATTTGGCCTGAAGTTGCCATTTGAAAAATTTGCCGTGAGAACAGAGCCAAGACGTGTGTGTGTGTGTGTGTGTGTGTGTGTGTGTGTGTGTGTGTGTGTGTGTGTGTGTGTGTGTGTGTGTGTGTGGTGTGTGTGTGTGTGTGTGTGTGTGTGTGTGTGTGTGTGTGTGTGTGTGTGTGTGTGTGTGTGTGTGTGTGTGTGTGTGTGTGCGTGCGTGTGCATGTTTAGGGGTGTTTAATCTTCCTAAGTGCGGACAGAGTGTTTTTCCTTTGTCTGCAGAACCCGAGTGAGTGTTCTGAGTATCGTTCTGTCTTTACGACCCAATCTTTATTTTTGAAAGAATTTATTTAATATATTCGTAGCATGGAGCAGGCGTGTTATTTTCCACAGTGAAGAGAGTTTTCTAATGAAGTGTGGAGGTGAAGGAAGTTTCGAGGAGGTGTTTGACGGAAAGAATTAGGATTCATCTCCCATGCCATACTCACCCTAAAACAACTTTAAAAAATAAACTAATTTTAACCCGTTTAAAAAAAGCCCAGCTGATGCTCTTTTGAGTGTTCTCACAGCCGCCATTTTCCAAACTCGCCTCGTTTTTTTTGTTTGATATCCGAGGAAAAGCGTGCACTTCCCCTCTGAGCCGGCAAGCCTGAGTTTCTTCAAGTTTTTCAGTTGTTATCAAAGTTTTGAAGAGATACTTTTTTAAGCAAGTGCAATGTTAATAATAATAATTATAATAATAAAAAATGGTGCAACATCATAAAACAAATCTCCGTGTCTTTTTCTTACATAATACACACCACTCTTTCTCATCAACTATACCAGTGACGCAATAACTACACATTAATTGTATTTATTTGGTTAAAATGGTTAAAAATGCAGTACACTCATTTGACCAAAGCCTTAATAATAAGGAAAAAAATCACAAAAAAGCAGCAGTCCAACCCTTTAGCCATACGCTTTCAAATCCATATTTTAACCTTTTAATAAAAAATCATCAGCTCCACATTTAATCATGATAAGGGGGGGTTTATAAGTCCTGTTTTCTGGAGCTGAGATGAACAAAAAAAAGCCTGAGTTTGTCCATCCAATGTGACCGATTCTTCAGAATGTATCCACAAAAACACGTGGGATGCAATGGGATGAAAACAGGGTGATTTGAGTGTTTATTCACCGTCCACCAGAGAGCCGTGAATGAATACAGGAAGTATGCTACTCATTTTAAAACAGTAGAAGAAGTAGGAGTCACTGTGACAGAGAAAAGAGGTTGTGTGTGTCTGATGCCTGAGAGAGAATACTGAACAAGTGTTTCTTTTTAAATAAAATAAAGATGGCTGAAAAGGAGAGACTGATGTTTGACAGGAGTTAGAGAAGTAAAGGTTCTGAGACCTACACAGAGGCGCTATGAAGAGTGAAGCATGGTGGACATTTCTGGAGAGGAAGAGCAGATTTGGGGGGGGGGGGGTTCGGTCTGAAGGTGAGGATTATGAGAGCTAACGACGGCACACTGAGTTTGAGGTAAAGGCGGCAGGTCTGGTCCTCGTGGATCTCACCTGGAGGAGGAGGAGCCTCTTCAGGCGTACATGGTCAGCTGGAGCCACTGAGGAAGAAGAGGGGAAATACAATATGAATTCTCTTATTATGAACATGTCCTCCCTTCCTGCAGCGGTGAAGCTGGACAACCATAATGGCCCGAGGTAGACGTCCCACACAGAAACTGGAATACTCCTGAAGCTCAGCGCAAGTTCAACCAGGAAGACCGTCTTTTCTCATTCATATTACTATGTCTATGTTACTACTCTCTCTCCTCTCAATAAGTGATCGGGGGCGTCACTCCCCTAGCTTAACCAATCACTTCGCTCTATTCTCACAAGCCTATCACAGCGCTCTGCTAACCCTTTAAATCTGCTCTCCCCTCTGACAGCTGTCATTTCAGCTGACTCGACGCAACCCTCCTCCACCCCTTTTCACCTCCTGTCCCTCTGAATCCAGGGTCAAGCTAAGCCCCTCCCCTTCAGACTGAGCCAACTATCCATTCACCACCACCAGGGTCAAGCTAAGCCCCTCCCCTTCAGACTGAGCCAACTATCCATTCACCACCACCAGGGTCAAGCTAAGCCCCTCCCCTTCAGACCGACTCCAACTATCCATTCACCACCACCAGGGTCAAGCTAAGCCCCTCCCCTTCAGACTGACCCAACTATCCATTCACCACCACCAGGGTCAAGCTAAGCCCCTCCCCTTCAGACTGACCCAACTATCCATTCACCACCACCAGGGTCAAGCTAAGCCCCTCCCCTTCAGACTAACCCAACTATCCATTCACCACCACCAGGGTCAAGCTAAGCCCCTCCCCTTCAGACTGACCCAACTATCCATTCACCACCACCAGGGTCAAGCTAAGCCCCTCCCCTTCGGACCGACCCCAACTATCCATTCACCACCACCAGGGTCAAGCTAAGACCCTCCCCTTCAGACTGACCCAACTATCCATTCACCACTACCAGGGTCAAGCTAAGCCCCTCCCCTTCAGACCGAACCCAACCATCCATTCACCACCACCAGGGTAAAGCTAAGCCCCTCCCCTTCAGACTGACCCAACTATCCATTCACCACCACCAGGGTCAAGCTAAGCCCCTCCCCTTCAGACAGACCCAACTATCCATTCACCACCACCAGGGTCAAGCTAAGCCCCTCCCCTTCAGACAGACCCCAACTATCCATTCACCACCACCAGGGTCAAGCTAAGCCCCTCCCCTTCAGACCGAACCCAACCATCCATTCACCACCACCAGGGTCAAGCTAAGCCCCTCCCCTTCAGACAGACCCCAACCATCCATTCACCACCACCAGGGTCAAGCTAAGCCACTCCCCTTCAGACAGACCCAACTATCCATTCACCACCACCAGGGTCAAGCTAAGCCCCTCCCCTTCAGACAGACCCAACTATCCATTCACCACCACCAGGGTCAAGCTAAGCCCCTCCCCTTCAGACTGACCCAACTATCCATTCACCACCACCAGGGTCAAGCTAAGCCCCTCCCCTTCAGACTGACCCAACTATCCATTCACCACCACCAGGGTCAAGCTAAGCCCCTCCCCTTCAGACCGAACCCAACTATCCATTCACCACCACCAGGGTCAAGCTAAGCCCCCTCCCCTTCAGACTGACCCAACTATCCATTCACCACCACCAGGGTCAAGCTAAGCCCCTCCCCTTCAGACTGACCCAACTATCCATTCACCACCACCAGGGTCAAGCTAAGCCCCTCCCCTTCAGACTGACCCAACTATCCATTCACCACCACCAGGGTCAAGCTAAGCCCCTCCCCTTCAGACTGACCCAACTATCCATTCACCACCACCAGGGTCAAGCTAAGCCACTCCCCTTCAGACAGACCCAACTATCCATTCACCACCACCAGGGTCAAGCTAAGCCCCTCCCCTTCAGACCGACCCCAACCATCCATTCACCACCACCAGGGTCAAGCTAAGCCACTCCCCTTCAGACAGACCCAACTATCCATTCACCACCACCAGGGTCAAGCTAAGCCACTCCCCTTCAGACTGAGCCAACTATCCATTCACCACCACCAGGGTCTAGACCCCGGGCGGTTTCATCGGATCGGTTCTCCCCTCCTGAATGATACTCCTGATACACTTTATTTGCCAAATATACAAAATATAAAGCCTAGTTTTGGCCATTAAATCTGAAATCCAAAGCTCAATGCATCTGTGGTGCAGTGGTGACTGAGTGGTGCAGGAAATATATATTTGGATGAATGTAAAATGAAATACTGTAACATAGAAAGAAGACTGTAATAAGATACAGCTGCAGAAGTACAGAAGTTACTCTGAGTAAAGGTGTAAGGAGATTATGTCAGCTGTGTTTCAAACACATTAAACACATTTTCACGATTTTAGTCAACAAAATGAAGTTGATATTAAAACATTAATTATAAAATGTGGCTTATTAAACTTACATAACTACGGTTTAATTAGAAAAACAAGTGATTCAAAACAGGGTGATGTGTGTGGAAATCCTTTGAATGCAGGTCATGTGAGTTTTCCTAGGATTAGATTTTTACATATTGTTTAAAGTTTAAGTGTATAGAATGTACCTCCCTGTGGTATTGCTAATATACACGGCAAATTCAAACTGTATGTACTTTGATTGTTGCAATCTGTCATTCTTATGTCCTTTTTTCCATTCTATTTTCCCCAATTGATTTGAAACTGCATGCCACTCTTCCCCTGAGTTAATCAGAGGTTATTCAGATCACTCTGCAGGTGAGTGTGGAGACTTTCTCTAGGCTCAAAGGAGGCAGACTCTCCCAGCAGGCGATCCTCAGTTGACTCAATGCTCGATGCTTTATCTAAATGCACTTGTACTGAGACACAGGTGGTATTATTCACAGTTTATCTGAGTTTGAATCTCACCTCCAGGACACTGAGTCTAATGGTACCGTCTCCGTCCTGATCGAAGGCCTGGAACGCCCCTGGAGACACAAAACAACAACAAGAAAAGTGTGATCCACCTCATCCAAAAACCCTGAACAAGAATACTTACAGTTACAGTAAGTTGTTGATACTGCTGCAAAAAGTACAGCAAAAACACATAAATTGTACTTGTTGTTTCTCACAAGAGGATGATTATGGTCAAGAAGCTTCAAAGTGTTTCCTTCGTCGTCACACAAACACTGTGACTTGTTGTTTAAATGCTCAGAGCAATACAAATAATGTTCGGTAGGTATTGTCTTTCCCTTTTGATGAGGGAGAGATGTATCGACTCCCCTCACCAGATGAGATCGGGGGGGGGGGGGGGGGAGCTCTTACTGCCACACATTTAATAAAATAAATCGTTCAATTTGTATTTATATAACCCAATCAGGCGGTCGTTCTTAAGCTGTTGCAACAAATATATACAGATTCAGATACAAATATCATTAGTACATACTATGGCTTCCATAACTAAGTGTGTACTGTTGCAGATAGTATGCATACAATTGGGACATACTTCCTCTGTATATATTCTCCATTTAGAGAATGTGGGTCAGAGTAGCCAGAAGAGGCATGAATGTGAATGTGCCATGAAAACGGCAAAATGTGACCAGAGACATTTGGATATCCTGGCACTTTTGGCATGCTTCATAGTGTGTTGGTGTGCATATTGGAACGCCCCCCCCCGTGTGTCAGTGATGGAGTTGGTGCAGCAGCGACTCACTGAACATGGCCTCGAGTCGCACCAGACAGCTGATGAAACTGTCGAAGTCGATGTTCATGTTCTCGTTGGCGTAGCGCATGGTGATGATGTCATACAGCTGGTTGTTGAGACGGAAGCCTGAGCGGGACACAAGACACATGACTGTACAGTGAAGAGAACATTAGGGGGGTGAGTTCATGTGCACACGTCAACAATCATCCCAACAACACAGATTACGTTTGGTTTCTAAGTGTAGCATGCAGCTAAATGTTAAGTTAATTAGCTTTAAGGTTAAAAAGTCCATGACTGATATATTCGCTGCTTTCATGGAGTATTTCATGTGTCAGGTTTACGCTTTGCCAAACCATTACCGGCTCAAATAAAAAGATAGAGCATAAAAATCTACTTTTTAGCAGCTTTTTCAAATCCTCAAACCATTCAGTATTTTTTTTAGATATTGTAAATAACAACAACTTTAAATTTAAAAATATGATTTACATAAGTAACATTTTAATTGTTAAATCAACAATAAATAACAACTCCGTTCATCAAATGTACAGAAACACCTTTAACTATGTTGTTGTTTATATTTTTGGATTTACTTGCTGAGGTTTTGAGAAATCTGCCTTTTTTTAAAACGTGTCTTTCCAGATTCATAGTTAATCTTTCAAAGCTGTGATAAACCCAAACTTAATTTCACTTCAGTCCTGATCAGAACTTCAACATTTTGATTTAACCCTTTAAATGTCACAGCTGTTTTCTATGGAGTATTTTCAATCTCAACATTTATTTTGATGCATTTTGTGTCAAAAATAAGTGATACTAATTAAACATCTACTCGTTATCCTGGATGACGAAAATGCACCCACTGCTATAAAACTGATATAATGTATTACATGGACAATTTAAAGGTCACCTATCATGCTATTTGTAGGCAATAGCATAGGTCTCAGATATATAAAAATATATAAAAAACATGTCTATGAAGTGTTTTGCTCAAAATACCAAACAGATCACCCATTCTAGCCATGCCTCATATCCCTCTATTTCACTTCCTGTTTCTAAAGTGCTGATTTGGGGATAAAGCTTTAAAGAGGAGGGGTCTGAGCTCATGCGGGACCCGGCAGCTACTGTCTAAACTAAATGCTGCCGTGATGAAACGCCATATCATGGATCATCAAGGATTCTCTCTGAAACAGTTTGGAGCTCAAAGGCTTTCTCTCTTGCCGGTTATACCACAAGGTGAGTTCCTTTTTACTTCCTGCTTCTTCACACACATGCTCTCCAGTACAGGTTAGCTCTGAGTGTTAGCGATGCTAATGTAAACACTGACCATATTACGTCCAAAACAGTCTGGCATTGTTTCTGATAGCAACGTTTCTGATTGGGCCGTGGGTCCACATTTCAGATATTACGTCATATCGGACGCAAATCTGGATCAGCTCCGTTGTTGCCCCGTTTTTAGAGATTTGGGTACGGAGGAAAAGAGAGAGGGTTTTATTTTCTGACGCTGCGTGAGTCCCCTGACACACCGGGGACACATGTTGATGTAGAAAAGACATCAACAAGTGCATTTTGCATGATAGGTCCCCTTTAAATGCAATTTTGTTTACAATGCTAAATGCTACGGGGTATTTTTAAATATATGTATTTCCATCATCATTACATCCATCCATGCAGTGCAATCAAAGCGCACCAGAGTCAATACACAGGTATCTCTTCACGTGGGCAGAAAAAACTCAAATCTGTTGAATTTTTTTTAAGTAAATCAGTGTTTTTGTAAAGTGGATGAAGTAATGATTTGTTACCTGCATCGTTGACAGCGTTCCTCATCTCGTAACTGTTGATGCTGCCGAACTGATCGGCGTTATAGTGCTTAAAGATTCCCTGGAAGACACACAAAATATAACATTTCATGTCTTTATCGTGAAATAAAAACACTAGTTTAAACCAGCGGAGGGATTCATATAACTAAGTAAATGTATTGGAGTACTGATGAGACATACATATACCTTTTACTTGGCTATTTCAGAATATCTTTATTGGTCCCACAGGAGGGGACATGTACGATTGTTACAGCAAAGAGCCAAAGTCAGTTTATATCATAATAAATCACTCAAGAAGCATGCAGAAAATATATATATATAGCGGCCTGGTGAAAGTATAAAAGGCAGAGCTATTTACGGTAAACATATATATTGCACATAAGTAGTATTATCTATTTAATTGTACTTCATACTTAATGTAAAGCGTAAAAATATATAAAGTGAAGCTGCTGTTTTTAATTCCCACCTGCCACTGTTTGATTTTGTTCCACAGATGTCTGAACTCCTGCAGGTTGAGTCTTCCTGTCCCGTCCATCTGCACACCGCAGGTTAAGACCAACACGTGTATTTTGTATATTTATTAAAGGTCACCTATTATGCTAAATCCACTTCTCCATGTCTGTTCTACATCAACATGTGTCCCCTCTTCTTCATGTCTCTTCTACATCAACATGTGTCCCCTCTTCTTCATGTCTCTTCTACATCAACATGTGTCCCCTCTTCTCCATGTCTCTTCTACATCAACATGTGTCCCCTCTTCTTCATGTCTCTTCTACATCAACATGTGTCCCCTCTTCTTCATGTCTCTTCTACATCAACATGTGTCCCCTCTTCTTCATGTCTCCTCTACATCAACATGTGTCCCCTCTTCTTCATGTCTCTTCTACATCAACATGTGTCCCCTCTTCTTCATGTCTCTTCTACATCAACATGTGTCCCCTCTTCTCCATGTCTCTTCTACATCAACATGTGTCCCCTCTTCTTCATGTCTCCTCTACATCAACATGTGTCCCCTCTTCTTCATGTCTCTTCTACATCAACATGTGTCCCCTCTTCTTCATGTCTCTTCTACATCAACATGTGTCCCCTCTTCTTCATGTCTCTTCTACATCAACATGTGTCCCCTCTTCTTCGTGTCTCCTCTACATCAACATGTGTCCCCTCTTCTTCATGTCTCTTCTACATCAACATGTGTCCCCTCTTCTTCATGTCTCTTCTACATCAACATGTGTCCCCTCTTCTTCATGTCTCTTCTACATCAACATGTGTCCCCTCTTCTTCATGTCTCTTCTACATCAACATGTGTCCCCTCTTCTTCATGTCTCCCCCCCCCCTTATCACCTGAATCTCCTCCTAGAGCGCCATTGAGTTCTTTGTAACCAAATGTCTCTCAGAGGGGCGTGGGGAGGGGCTCCTTATTTTCATCTAAAGTAACAGACAGAGAATCAGCACTTTTGAAACAGGGCTGAAACAGAGGGGATTATGGGTAATGCTGCAATGATCTGTTTGGTGTTTCAGCCAATCAGAGACAGGCTCTGTATCAGAGGTCGCGTTAACCGAATATTTTCCGTCTATGACGGATTTTTTTTAACAAACAAACTCAGAACAGCGCCACAGTTTCCTTGCAGCGAGGCTCCGGTGTTATGCCGTGTTATGCATGCCCGCCCAAGAGGAAATTATAGAGTTTCCAAACCTAACTTTGCCGAACAGAACTGTGAGTATTTGCTTTACGCTGTGCGCGATCTCGCGAGGTGCAATGGGCATGCATAACACGGCGCTAACAGTCCCCCGTTGACAGTTCACGAGCGTGCTCTCCCCCCCCCCCCCCCGGCAGGGCAGAGTTGTGTACAGGCCGACGGGTAATAATGGATTTTGACGGAAATGTTACGATCCTGCCCGTCAAAATGATGGGCAGCGAAAAAGTCTAGCGCAACCTCTGCTCTGTATATATCTGAGACCTGGGATATATTGATGAAAAACAGTATAATAGGGGACCTTTAAAATAAAAACAACTGTCTTCACATTATAACTGTTCTAGAAACTGATATATATAATTAAAAATGTTCACTGAGAGGAAATGATTACATGTTTTCTTTTGCATGGCAACCTCCATGTGTGTGTGTGTGTGTGTGTGTGTGTGTGTGTGTGTGTGTGTGTGTGTGTGTTGTTAGTGAGGTGAAGTGAGGCCCTGAGCGTGCAGCAGACCAGCAGCCCGATGCTCTCGATACAAAGGATACGTCCATCAGAGCTATCATGCTCCTGCAGCTCTCCAGACTGAAGCCCTCCGTGTTCAGGTCCTTATCTGTAACACAGAATACAACAAAGCATGATGTATCTGCAGAATAATACATAAACACATGATGTATCTGCAGAATAATACATAAACACATGATGTATCTGCAGAATAATACATAAACACATGATGTATCTGCAGGAAAATAAAGGAAAATATGATGTATCTTCACCACAATAAAAAGAACGAGAGAATAATATCTGCAGGAAGTTGATTTGAAACTATAAAATCTATAATACTTTTGGTTGGATGTAAGATGTGTTCTTCCTTTGACAAACAGTAAGTTAAAATAAATGTAAGGAAAGTGTTCGCATGTTATAAAGTCTGCCATAAAGTGTAGTTATATTTGTGTCTGACTCACGTCTGGTGATGACTCTGTTGAGCACGTTCTTCAGCTCGCTGGCGGAGATCTCTCTCTCCTGTGAGAGAGACGGGAGAGGAGAGAGAGACCAGAGGAGAGAGAGACCAGAGAGGAGAGAGAGAC